CCCCCCCCCCCCCCCCCCCTTTTAACAATGGTCAATAATAAACCAGAAAGTTAATTGATATTATTTCAGTTACGCGTGTAGACAAAACAATTTGAGATATTTTATGACATTTTGTTACCTTTAGAACTCAGGAAATAGCATTTCAGAGACTCTAGTTTTAAAATTTTCCGCTGGGGAATGCCCTCGGACTACCCTTGAATGTCACCCGGCGGGTTCTAAGTGTGCCCCCTCCCCCTTATAGAGCCGCTCCGACGCCCCTGCTTGTTCATATTATCAGACTTGTTGCAAGGTTGTTCCAACGAGTCCGATACAGTCATGATATGAAAATATTGTTACAACCTTGTGTCGTCAACCTTGTAACATTCTTGTTATATCATGACTGTATCAGACTTGTTGGAACAACCTTGTAGCATTCTTGTTATATCATGACTGTATCAGACTTGTTTAATAGAACAACCTTGTAACAAGTCTGAGTCAACTGAGTCTGATAATGCCATCAAGCTTGTTACAACTTGTTAACAGCTTGTTCCAAACTTGTTACAACAACTGGGAAGAAGCAGTGCGAACACATCTTGTTGACAAGCTCTAAGATTTTTACGCGTGTAATTGGAATCAAGCAAACGTTCTGAGGTTTTTCAGCCGTTTCATTCTGTTTAATTTCATTTTTTATTTTCCAGGCTGCTTGTGTTTATTCCTCAAACACTCGAGTGGTCAATGCGTGCGTAGTGCAAAAACAGCTTATCTCTCGACGCAATTCGCTCATATCTGGTATTTACAACTAACTAACGATTGTTCAGCGCCCGAAGCTCAGTTTCGTTTTATAAACCACGGAGTTTTACAACACGTTTCCTCGAGTGGCTGCGTGCTTCCAACAGATGCCAAAGCGTTGCCTTCGGCGGGGGTAAAGTTGGTCGTTTTCGCTGCTAAAGATGTTTGCGCGAACAGAAGCAGCCAAGCTTACACCCAGACGGAGTATGGTTCGTTACGTCATGCGAGTTCAAAATGTATCCAACCACATGTGTCCCTCTTTTCATCTGTGCCGTCTGCGGGCGCTCAGATCGAGTACACAGCAGATTGCAATGAAACAATGCAGTACTTTGTGTTAGGTATGTATTTCTACTACTGGATAGTTTTATCTGTTCTAAACTGTTCTTCCTAGAGGTCCAGTAAGGATCATCTCTTATTCATCCAGTGTTACTACAGGAGGAAACCTAAACTAAACTAACTTTATTTATACTGGATAGCTCTATCAGTTCTAAACTGTTCTTCCTAGAGGTCCAGTAA